AAACAATGTCAATTGCTCACCTTTGTCAATTCAGAACTTTCCTAGGGACATATTTACTCAAAATCAGAGAAAATCAGGTGCAATTATTTTGCACATCTTTGCTACTCTCTACATGTTTCTTGGCCTTGCCATTGTTTGTGATGCCTACTTTGTGCCATCGCTTGAAGTGATATCAGAAGGTAATCATTATTTAAAATATTGCATAAAGTGTGGAATCTAAAGCCTGATGTGGCTGGTGCAACATTTATGGCTGCGGGCAGTTCTGCTCCAGAATTAGCCACAACTTTAGTTGGAGTGTTTATTTCAAAAGTAGGACGATTTTTCCCTTTACATTATTTATTTAGGATGATGTTGGTCTAGGTGCTGTCGTGGGATCAGCTGATTTTAATGTTATGCTTGTTATCAGTCTTTGTGCATTGTTCGCCAAACAGGTATTTTTCATTTTCCTAATCGAATCACTTTCTAAATTGGGCTTTTTTGTGCATGCATTATTTCTATATTTTTGTAATTCAAATGTATGTAAAGGAAAAACTTATAAAATTTATTCTTTTTTTAATCTTTCGAATTTTTTTTATCGCCTTCAATAATTATTAACTAAATATGAAGAAAAACTGAGTTTCGATGAATCTCTTGAGATAATATTATTAGGGGGATTTTAAGTTCGCATGAAAGTGAATGAAGAAGAGATTCGTTGGTCGGTTTTACTAGATGAGGATGGATGAATCTCGTTGTACTGCAGCCGTGTTGCTTTTATACGATATTCATATATATATATATATATATATATATAATTTACCTATATATACTGTAATGGTAGCCTAGAAAACCAATATATCTATGATATATTAGTTATTTTATTTTTGTGGAGACTTTTCTGCTCTTTCTACATGTTATATATACTTATTCTTAAAAATATAGATAGATACACGACGATTTCACTAGTTCTCTTTCATATTAGTCACTATAATTTTACTTAAACCTATCAGCCTATTTTCATGTCTGTGTTAGCGTCGGTACGCGATACGGGTTCTAAATCAGAATTATTGCCAAGCTTGAGTCATCAAGGTTTAATGACCCCAGGGCACATACTCGAGGCTGCATATGTGCGTGAGTGACTCAAGTTGAGATAATTTAAGCTCGTATGCGTCAGGTTGCGAACAACCTATCATAGCCAGTCCGTCTAGGATCATTAAGGTTGAACTATCCAAGGAAAGGCATGAAGGGTTGCGTAATTTCGTACGCCTGGTTTTGTTCATGAGTTTATATACCTGCTGAGATAGTGTTAGCGTGGGTATAACCATTAATGGGCGGATAAGTTGAGTCACCTATTGCTGAGCGGCTCAACATCCTCTCTTTTAATCTGTTAATAAAGTATAAGTAGTTCTTACTCAACTTTCTATCACCGTTCCTCATATTTAATGTATTCCTTAAGCTTTTAATTTAAATGGCCACTCTTATCTTCCTTTTCACAGCAGACGTACCATAATCAGCAAATCGATGCTTTTGGCACACTTCTATCTCGCGCATAGTCTCTGCCCTGTATTTGACCACTTATGGCCACTGTACCTAACCGCTTTTACAAGCATTTTTGTGTTCCGCTTATCCTTGACGAATAGGCCGACATTTATCATCCACATGAGGTCGATCACAAATGCACACAATCTTTAGCAAGCGGATCTTAACAATAGGTCATATTTTGTTCCCGAAGAAGGCATAAACGAAGAGAGTGATGGGGTTTCTTTTAAAAACTGCTTCTATTCTCCATTTTATTACTTGGTACCCTAATATGGGTAATATGGAAGAGAATTAACCAAGTCATTCTATATCTATCTCTTTATTTAGTTTAGTTTCTGGTTATGTATATGAATACCATATAGGATGGGGCTGTAAAGTCTTCATGACTTAGGGTTAACCTGAGACTTTTATAACGAGGACTTTCAACCCTGATGGTGTCCGTTAATGGTTAGATGAAAGCTTAACCCGATTTTACTCAAAATGATGGAGAGTGTTGTTGTGTATTACGCTATCCTGAATGTGGCATTAACGGGAAACTTCTGCAGAAGAATGGAAATCTGCTTTCGTCTTCCGATGAGATTAACCAACAAATCTCTTCATTATGCACTTGCATACCAAATGAAAATCTCTACGATAATTTTATCGTAAAACATTAATCGAAACTGAGCTACTTTCAAGAAGTTGATTTTGCTAGAAATTACTTATTAACAAATTATTTTAAGTTATTAATTTTAATCAACATTGTCGATCACTAACGCTCAGTTGACAACCAGTAATACTAGGTTTATCCTGTATGTTTAATATAAATTTGCCGATATTGGCTGGACTTTTGCATT